GGTTACTGAGGATGTTCCTCAAGGCAGGACATGTTTTTATTCATTTCTCACGAAACATCCCCAGCTAGCATAGAAACAGATACTGTTACTAACTTGATTTTACAACAGAAGAAATAGAGGTTTGGCAAGGTTTAAAGGACTTGCTCAAAGTCACAGGAATTAGTGGCAGAGCTAGGATTCAAATCGAGGCGGTGTGGCTCCAGAGCTAGTGTTCTTAATTCCTTCCCATGTCATAGGCCAGTGGTGGAGACAGCCCTGCGAACAAATAATTACAGTGTGATGAATGAGGTAAGTGCTAATAGAGGGATGTACAGAGTACAGAGGAAGGAGTGACTAACCAGGCCTATGTGTGTGTGACATTTGCGTAATTTCCTCTGTCTATTGCCAGAAATTAACAAATTGAAGTCTTCTGGGGGCCTGATTTATTATTACTATACATGGATTCAGATAGAGAGCTCAATTCATGTTGCCCTCCTGCCCCTCCCAAGCACAACAGCACTTAAAATAATTTCTTCCTGACATCTTGGCTCCTCTCCAAGAGTTCTGCTCTAGCTTTTGGACAAGGACAAGGCAGCAACAGGAAGAGGACATCCTAATGTTCCCTGATGAGAGACTTAAATTGGAATTTGGGAATCGTTTGGTGATTAAAATCACTGCTAAGATTCTATTGTCCTATACTGTATATGCATGTGTGTATGTATGCCAATCGCATCAGCCATGCTACATATGCTATATAGAATCACCAAAAACAGCTGTGACATTGGTTACATTTCTATCCTTCTATAGTTTGCAGGTCTTATACCAAATGAAGATGATTTTCTCACCTCAAAGATTTTTTTGGGTTATGACTTTATCATAATTTAGTAGTAATATATCACAATTTCTGCTAATCACACATGACCAATTACATTTCTATTTCATTCCTCTAGGTAGGAATTGATTAGATTTGACCCCTTTTCTCACAACTTATCTTTGAGGTACTGAATACCCATACATTTGGTTTTTATGTCACTTGGAACTACAGTAGGCATCATTAAGCTTATATGGCCAGATTGGGTACTGTAAACAGCTGTCTGCTGTCTCCAAGTGATGGCCCATTCATGCCAGGATGTTTAGCACATCCTGTGGTTTGGTGTAAACACCAGGTGGGATTCTAATCCATTCAGCACAGAACCCCTCTGTCTTTCCTCCTTAAATAAATGAAAATCTCTGGGAAGTCCCTCCTCAGGAATTCTTTATTCCCTTTGAAGTCAGTGAGCTCACTCCAAAATGACCCAAGATGGGGGCTGGATCAGCTCCTCCCAAGCTCCCTCTATTCACAGTGTATTTCTTGGAGTGACCGCAGGAACTCACAGAGAAGTTCCAAGTTAACATGTAGCCTTCTGATCCTAGGTTACTCTTTAGTGACTTTGGGTTTCAGTGGAATAAAGTCAATTTTAGTTGAGAACATGGCCTTATTACATCAACTCCTCTCTTTCAACGGCTAACATTACTTTTTTCAGAGCTCTGTAGCTTCTTCTATTTAGGGTGCTCTGCCTTTGGGGGATACTCTGGAAAACAAAGGGCTCTGAAATTAGGCCCAACTAGAATAGGGAGTGGAGACCCAAACTTTTTGCTTGGACTCAAAAAATTCTTCCCAAAACTCTCATTTACTCCCAACGCGGCCATGCTCCTCTGGCACTCCTTGTGATTGACAACCATGGAGCAGGCGTGCTTTCTCAGACATGAGGACAGTGTTTGAACTTGTTGCTAGGACATCTATGGAATTTCCATATTCTATCCCAGGAAAGAAATATAATTTTTCTTTGATGCCACATTCTTTTTTAGCCAGAAACACAAGGAAACCACTGTTTGCAATGGGGTTTTTGGCAGAACTCTGAAGTGTGGCCTGGGTCTGGGAACCCACAATCCAAGAATAAGGCACCATTTATGTACAAAATTGTTGAATTTGGGTAGAAACTAGGTTCAGCTATGTTTGTGAAGCCACTGTCTTGCAGGGTCAAAAAAGAGCTTATTTTTCAACTAAGTGTGTTTCACTGTTTACTGGCGACTCTACCAAAATAATTATTTCCTGTGTGGGTCACTGGGAGTGAGGTAATCCTAAAGAAAATGTTCCATTGTGCTTACTGGGCTGGGCAGAGCAGCAGCTCCAGACTTTCCATTAAAGCAACAGTTAATTGTGTTGAATGGGAAAGTCTGGTTCATGTGCCTTTGGGAGGGAGGTTCATTTTCTAATTGATTCTTTCAGGATCTTGTGAGAGATGGCAAATATGAAGGTATACATACACATATCTTTGTGTGCCCTTATTATGTTGGTTCATTTAAATAGTCCTGCAGGATAGGATGGTTCCTATCAATGTAAAAGCAGAAACTTACCCTGTACAAGTTGTTAATTTGCTTGTCTGTTTTGAGCCACTTGAGGGCATGCTTCATTTGCCTTTGTCTGTCTTCCTAGCCTATAGTGATAGGCTTATCACTGAATGCAATGCTCATTAGTCATCTGAGGATGAATGCATGGCTTGCAAAGTAAATGAAGTCCAGGGAAAGAACTAATAGCCCAAAATTGCCTTCCTTGGTACAATGACACCAAGATGAGAGAGATTTCCAGAAAGAGGGCCTGGACAGTCAGGATTAATACATCCCTCAGGTGCTGAACCCATGGTTCTAGAGATTAAACAACTCTGTACTTCCTATTGCCATCCTCCACGGAGGCAGAGAAGTTAAGCATAGAGTCATCCACAGCAGTTGCTAGAGATTGGCACAGTGAGTGCAGTGAGCTGTGACAGCAGGGTCAACAGGTGAAAACTAGGCCAAAGAGAATACCACTTCTGGTCTACAAAGCAGAGGAATGCTTTTGAATATAAATCATCTCATACTTTACTCTGTCTACTTACAACTATGGTTATAGGAGCTTATTGTGTACATTACAGATATAGAGCTTTGTTTATAAAAAGCAATGTTCATTACTGATTAATCCACTCACTAAATTTTTATTGAGTGCCCTCTATAGACCAGGCATTGCTTTGGTGCTGAGACACAGGTGAACAAACCAGATACAGGGGTCCCTTCCCTTAAGAATTTCAGCTGCTAGTGGAAGAGATGAATGAAAATACGCGCGCGCGCGCACACACACACACACACACACACACACACACACACACATTTATATATAATAAAGGAAGTACCTAATTACATAAGATGGCCAGAAATGATTGTCAGGTGGAGGAGAAAGCTTTGGGAAGAGTGAAGAGTAGGAGCATTCCAGACAGAAGAAAAAGCTCATGTGAAGGGCCAGACACCTAAAAGAAAGTGGTATTTTAGAGCATAAAACAAAACAGTGCTCATGCATCTGCAGTGGTGTGAGTGAAGGGGAGAGTGTGCCCTAAGTGGCAGAAGTTCTCTAGGGATTTTTCAGATCTGCAATCAAGGACAGAATATCAAGTGAAAAATGTGGGGTAGTTGCAGAGTCATCAGGAGGCTTGACATCATTATCCAGAGGAGGGGGCCGAGGGTGAGAGTGGGCCTTCCATGGTACGTTGTGTCTCATCTCAGCACCATATGTCCCAAACAGCTTGCGATTTTGGCACAAGTTTCAGTCCAAATGAGAAAACCATGGTTGGGAATGGCCATACACACCCAATCGGTACTTGGAAATGGAAATGGAGGCTAAGAGAATGCTGATACTGAAGTGTGCAATGCTTTCTGCACTTTCTGCTCCTGATCTTTCAGGGTAGAAGACATCTGGGAAGTGTCCTTTCAGGATGTCATTAAGAAGCTGTGTGTGTGTGTGTGTGTGTGTGTGTGTGTGTGTGTGTGTGCAATCACATGTGCTTACAGTTGTGATGCTGACAACGGCCAGATGTATTGGCTTATTCAGGTTTTTAAAAATATATGTTTTATTGATTTTGGAGAGGAAGGGAAAGGGAGAGAGACAGAAACATCAATGTTGAGAGAGAACCATTGATCAGCTGTCTCCTGCACGTCACCTACTAGGGACCAAACTCACAGGACCAAACTCACAGCCCCGGGCATGTGCCATTGACAGGAATTAAACTGGAAACCTCCAGTCCACAGGCCAACAATCTATCCACTGAGCCCAGCTGGCTAAGGCTTATTCAGGTGTTTTTTAACCAGGGGTCTGACATAATCTTGGGCAGGAAAAAAATTATATCTTTATTTTCACTAACTTCTCTAACTGACATTTAGCATTTCAACATTATATTTAGGCAATGAACCATAGTAATTTTAGCATCAGTAGAAATCACAGGTATTTTCATATCACATTATAGCTGTTGCAGGTATATCAAAATATCACTTATGCTGGTCACTATTTCAGAATTATAGTAGTTATCACCCCATAGCTAGATCTTGTTATTTAAAATGCTAATAAAGCACCTATAATACTACATCATGTTTCAAAAAAGATTTGAAAACTGAATTTTAATACTCTGGTTTGTTTGCAATCCTATGCATTTTATCCTTTGCATTTCAAAATGTGGTTGTGAGAAGGGTTTTGTAGGTTCTCACACAACCAAACAGGTCCTTGACATTAAAAAAGTTAAGAACCGCCAGACATAATGGGTCATCTTGCCAGTTCCATGTGATAGGAATATTGGGGACAGACTTGCACATGTCCATTTTCCTGGGAGGCATTTTGCATTCTGACTGCGTAGAAAAAGGGAAGAGGCAATACTTCTTGTCAACCCCATGTGTGTGCAGAAGCATACCTACTTTTATCCAGTTTGTATACCAATTCAGAGCCTGAATTTCTGAGAAACAAAAAGAGAGTCATAAATCAAGAGAGCCAAGAGAGAGAGGTCTGAGAGAACGTGCTCACAATCTTGGATACAAAGAATGCACTACCACAAACCTTTGCTAAGTAGAGACCTGGGAAAAGAACAAACATAATTTTCTCCAAGCTCTATCCTCCAGGGCCTACAGGGAGTCCATTCAGCCAGCCTATGCCTTCCCTACTCCCTAGGGCTGTCGCCTTGGGGTCCTCAGAGAGCACATCTGTAAGCACAAGGCAAATCATCAGCCCGTCTGCCACCTCCCATGGCTGAGCCACTGATGGATGCTATTTTTAGAAAGTCTAATTCCTGGCACAGACATAGCAGCCACAGCAAGACCCGAGAAGTCAGCTGGGGTTCCCAAAGGTCTGAAGTGGCACCCCTGGATAAGAAATGCTGAAAGAGGTGTTTTCTCACTTTTTCAGAGGTTTTAGAAATAGAATTTAAAGCTCCAGAGGCCGTCCACTCCCCACCACCCTCCACTCTCCACCACACAAACTGAATGAATAAGAGTTGCTGAAGATGCCTCTCCCATTGCATCACTCGGTCTAGTGGAAGCTCTTCGGAAACAATGGCTTAATGAAATGATGCTTTAATGGCAAAGAGCAAGGAGTCAGAGAAATCAACTTTCCCAAAATCACGGTCTCAGAGCTGGAGGAACTGTGCTTCAGTCCTTGCCTGCTGCTTTGTAGGTCTTCTCATCTATGAAGCCGACCAATGAGAAGAACTCATACACGGGGTTTTTAGGAGTGTATGTGTGTAAATGGAAAAGTGCCTCTTCAATGCTCCCTAATCTCTAACTGCTGTAACTTCTGTTTTTCTAGACAAGTGTGATAGTCTCAAAGAGGTTCCCTCCTCCTCCTTCTCTTCCTACTTCTCTTTCTCCTTTAAATCCTTGCTCAAAGATATGTTTTTATTGATTTTAGAAAGAGAGAAAGGGGGTGGAGGATAAAGAGAGAGGGAAGATAAAGAGAGAGGGAGAGGGAGAGAGAAACATCTATATGAGATAGGAATTTCAATCAGTTGCTTCTGTATTTGCCCTGACTTGGTATTGAACCTGTAACCTTGTTATGTGCCCTGACTGGGAATCAAAACTGCAACCTTTTGGTGCACAAGATGATGCTCCAACCAACTGAGCCACCCAGCCAGGGCTGTTCCTCCTTTTTAATTAATACTGAGGTATTAGTTGATGTCCAGGCCTATTTCCTGTCATCTTCTCCCCCCCCCCCCCCCCCGAGACATTATTCTCTCTCTTATCTCTTTAGTCTTTCTCTCTGTGATGTCTTCCTGGCTGGAGCATGAAAATATGCTCACCTGTCTCTCCTACTTGAAACAAATCCTCCCCTAACCTAACATATCCCTCTCGCTCCTGCTGCCTTCATCCCCACCTTTTAGGACCTGTCCTCCTACAGCGAGCCAGTGTCATACTCATGGCCCAGTGGTGAAGACTGCCCTTGTAGGTGGAACCCACATTTTTCTAACAATGTTTGTGACTGATGGGTAAATCTGCCTAACTCTGGGGTGCTTGCTGTGGCCACAAATCTTTGTTTTTAAATATATTTTTATTGATTTCAGAGAGAAAATGAGAGGGAAAAAGAGATAGAAACATCTATGATGAGAGGGAATCATTGATGGACTGACTCCTGCACACCCCCTACTGGGGACTGAGCCCGCAACTCAGGCACGTGCCCTTGCCAGGAATTGAACTTGGGACCCTTCAGTCCATAGGGTGATGCTCTATCCATTGAGCAAAACTGGCTAGGGCAGTGGTTGGCAAACTCATTAGCCAACAGAGCCAAATATCAACAGTAAAACGATTGAAATTTCTTTTGAGAGCCAAAATTTTAAACTTAAACTTCTTCTAATGCCACTTCTTCAAAATAGACTCACCCAGGCCGTGATATTTTGTGGAAGAGCCACACTCAAGGGGCCAAAGGGTTGCATGTGACTTCGAAGCCGCAGTTTGCCGACCAAGGGGCTATTGCAATGTGGCCACCAATCTTAGCCATGTTCTCCTGTAGCTCTCTATCTGTAATATTTGCATCTCCATTAACATGACTCCATTTTCTTTCTTGGTCTCCCTTCTTAGATTTAGAATTGAATTAGCAAGGAGAAGGAAGTAATCTGTTGGCCTCCTCAAATCCTAACTGTGGAAAAATGCCACGATTTAAGGGACAGGTGGGGGGAAATCAGGTTGCCATCTGATCTGTGTTCACGGCTTTTTTATAATCCTGACCCGGGAGCCACAGAGAGCCATGACCAGCCTCCCCCTTGCCCTTCCCATGCTCCCTTTGTACCAGTATGAGGCCTCAGAAATCCCATTCAACATTGTGATTCAAGCAACTGGAGTTGATGTCAGAGATGAAACCTTTTTGAAAGCCTGGGTCTAACATGCCAGTGCCTCCTGAATCTGTCATAGGAGCCCAGATCAGGGTGCTGATCCATTCTATGAGGGTTTCTTATTGTCCTCAGTACAAAAGAGACTTCTTTACCGTGGCCTGATTGCCCTCGACTGCCTATAACCTCTCTAGTCTTTGTTCAGTTCCTTCTGCTTCAGCCACTCTGAGCTCTTGTGGTTCTCTCAGGGCTTTTAGATTTTTGCAAATAGTACACACTTTGCCTGGAAGGGAAGTCCCATTCTTCCCTGCTTCTAGTCTGGTCAGTTTTGCTTCTCCTTCAAATCCCAGGCTCCCTGGCCTGAGAGCCTCTCCAGGCAAATTAGGAGTTTCTTCTTCAGTGTTTCTTCCAGATTTAACTTCTTGGGAGACAGGGGGACTGACTTAATTTTCATAGACCTTCGGGGTATAGGACAGGCCTTCTCTATCGTGGGCACTGAATGTATGTCTGTTGAGTGAATAAATGCATTTTTCGAGATCATCCTATATGACTCTCCTACACTTGTTTATTACACGTTGACGCCTGCTAAATGATCCCAAATTTTCTAGAAGAGTCCTACGGCAATTTGGCACAGCAAAGCTGGGCAAATTGCATACAGTGACCAACAGCATGAGAGGTCAGTGTAGATTGGACTCCTGATGTGGACGAGATTTCCTTGTGTTTCGAAGTCAGTTGTGGCCCCGCAATGAGGAAAATTATGAGTTAGGTTGCAGTCATTCCAAAAAGGAGCAGCCTGTAATATAAAGGGAGCTAAATGCGTGAGGACAAGTTTAGTCTGGAATTTTCCTCAAGACCATGCATAAAAGACATCACATGCACTGTGGTGTAAATGACTATTTCTGGATGGATTCTTAGACAAATACTAGATTTGTCTGAACCTTGCCTCAGGACATAGCCTCTTTAATCTTGCTCCGTATTGTTACTATTGGGCTTCTTGTAACATCTAGTACAGCTTTTTTTCTCTCTTTCTAATATTTCATATGTGTGTGTGTGTGTGTGTATTACGATGTGAAAGTATAGTGACTTAGAGAGAAAGAAAGGTACTGCATTTTCCAGAACATAAAGAAAAAGTTAAGGCTTAAAAACTTGGCATGTTTTAGGTTTGTACTAAATCTGGCAAATAGCAAATGCTTAAGGACTTTTAGCTACAATTAATATTAAAATTACTAATATTATTATTAGCAGTAATAGAATCCAGTACTTGAAAGCAGGTTGTTTTGTACCAAAGCAAGTGTGGGGGAATATACTCTCCTGGCTCTACATTCTCCATAGGAAGTAGAGATTGTATGTATTAGCTGGAGTTCACCCAAACTACTTTTGGGACAAACAGGATCATGTGTTTGGAACAGAGGTCAACAGCTGTTACTCCTCTGTGACATTCCTGAGATGTGGACAGATGTATTCAGATGGCCTTCCTTATTCAGTGAGTGTGAATAAGGAAGTGTGAATAAGGAACTAGTGGAAGAGGGTAGGGGGGAGGGAAGGAGATACAGCAGTGGAGAAGGTGAGAAGGCTCCCATGGGGCTCAGTAACATGAGCGACCATTGAAGGCAACATTGGAGCTAACGGTTTTATTTCCTGGAGTTTCCGTACTAAACACACATTAGGGAATGAGGGCCCTTAACATTTTTTTCCTGAAAGGATGAAAACCAGGCATGACAGTTTTCCCAAGGCTGGGACAAGATTGCACTTCCTGAAGAGGTCGGAGGTGACCTGTTTACCATTCCACTGAATGCACAGTAGGGAATAGAAGAGAGTCAAATCAGGTTCAATACAAGATGTGAAGTGAAATACATTCCTTCCGTAGCCCTTCCAACTCCAGTCATATTTAATTAACATTCCTATTTCTAGAAAATATCCAACTGTGTCAATGGCTTCAAAAAAGTAAAAATTCATCCTGGCACAGGGCTCTTGGTATATTTGTATAATGCCAGCAATAAAGCAGGCAGCTGGTCTTCTGTGAGCCAAAAGAACAAGGCTCTGTGAGACCATTCGTTTTTTCAGAATAATAGAATTTGAGAGCAGCACAGCAGACTTTCCTGTAACGATATCTTTGGGTCCTAAGACCTCTAAGTTTACACTGCCATAGTGGGTCAGCCAGAGTCTGCTGGGCAATCGTCTTCCTCAATCTTTAATGATGGTGATGGATGTTTTCTGTATCTGCCACTCTCCTTCTGCTTTCTGTCAGATTACCAAGTGAATAAACCCATTGTCAAGGAACTGTCCTAAAGCTCTGCTCAGCATTGCCTGGGCACATGATGGATCTGGCTGACAGTACACACATTCCTTTAGGATCTCGTCAGCATTAATTCCTCCAAGATGATGTCAAAACTACACAATTTTTTCTCCTTCCCCTTGATGGGGTCTGCATGAGTATAGGGTCAGCAAGGAAACTAGAACTGCATCCTCCCGAGTGAAGGAAGATGTTGCAAGTCACATAGAATTCTTGCTGAATTTGTATAAAGATGGCACTAGAGGTCAGGAGTGCCTATCAGGAAGATACGTTCCTCTTCACAAACCTTGTTCCTAAGCACTGCACTATCAACCGCATATTCCAACTGTCGGTTGATCAGGACTGTATCCATTTCCACCATGATGCTCTAATCTAGAATTCACTTTTGGAGTGAGATGGAATAAAATTTAAATCCTTGCTTTATTACTACCATGTGATTGCAGGTGGATTACTTAACCCGGCTGAGCTCCTGTTTTCTTATCTATAAAATAGAGATATTAATAGCACCAACCTCCTAAGGTTATTGTGGAGATTAAATGAGATGATGCAGGCATAATACTGAGCACAATGCCTGCCAGCAGGAGGCCTCCAGGAAAAGTTAGCTACTTACTGCTTTTACCACTTGGAGCCTTAGGCCTGCCTCTCTTTGTAAGTGGTCAAAAGGTTTTTAGATAATTGTTTTAAGCTATTTTTCACCATATTTTTCATGGGATCCTTGATAAAATTTCTTAGATTGTTCCTGCAAATATATTTAATATTTGTTTACTCAGTAGGATTAATTGATCAATATGGCAGTTATTTCTTGCCTTTTCATTTCTTTTGGGCACAACATAATTTTTTTTTTTTCAGGCTTCGTTCCTGCTGATTTGTGATAATGTGCATGACCTTTATTTTTAACAATCTTTGTCTGTGTTTTTTTGTTTTTTTTTTTTAAATAACTTTTTTGTACCAACTGCATAGCTCAAAGAATCTCAAGCTTTGTTATTTTTCCACATTCACCAGGTGAGCATTTGAACCCCTGTATGACAGGCCTTTATGGAAAATTAGAAACTAAAATGAAGGCAAGTTTCTAGCTGAAATTTAGACAAAAGAAAATATTATCCTGGTAGGCTTGCTCAATATTAGAGATAGCCAGAGGGTTTCCCTTTATTGACTAGCTTGACAACTACGGTATAATTCTTGAGGACTCTTCAATGATATTTTGTAGTTTATACTGGTGTAGGTTACAGTGAAAAGAACTATGCACCAAGAAGGCACTATGCTAATTTCTAAAACAGAGTTCTGGTGTTACTCATGCTGGAAAGTAAAATCAGTCTATGTAAACATATCAAACATATATTCATCTAGAGGCCCAGTGCATGAAATTTGTGCATGGGGAGGGGGGAGGAATTCCCTTAGCCTGGCCTGTACCCTCTCACAATTTGGGACCCCTCAGGGGATGTCCGACTACTGTTAGGGCCTAAACCAGCAGTCAGACATCCCTCTCGCAATTTGGGACCACCAGCTCCTAACTGTTGGCCTTCCTGCCTACTTGATTGCCCCTAACTGCCTCTGCCTGCCTGCCTGATCACCCCTAATGTTCTCTGCCGGTTTGCCTGATTGCCCCTAATCATTTGCCTGCCTGCCTGCCTGATCACCCTTAACTGTTTACCTACCTGCCTGATCACCCCTAACCACCTCTGCGTCAACCCCTGCCTCTGTGGCTTCATCTGGAAGGACGTACAGAATGATGTCCAGAAGGCTGTTTGGCTGCCTGGTCTAATTAGCATATTAAGCTTTTATATTATGATATATAATAATATAATATTATAGATGATCCAACAAGCATTTACTCAGCCCCTTATAGTAAGTGTGAAATAGAGATTTTTAAAATCTTATTTCTATCTTAAGAGTGTGAAAATTCACACATTGTGTGAGATATGAACAACTTCCTGTGTGAATTATTTTCATTCCTACTTTACACATGCAGAATTGAGGTTATGACTTTTTAAGTTCCTTTGGCTACCAAGTGGCCCAACTGGGATTTGTCCCTTAAGCCTGTGGAACTTCAAGTCCTTGCTTTTAGCTGCTAGAATTCTCAAAATTCTCCCCCCATCAATACTAATTCTCTGAAACCAGTTGGTTGTCCTACAATTTAATTCAGTTCTGACATGATTTAATTAGAGTTAATGTCAGATCCCACAAGTTAAGGGGTCAATTCCACAAGATTGTCCTTCCTACAGATGCCAAATGCAAGTCCCAGGCTGTAATTTTTTGGACTGTGTATAAATTGTGTTCCCATGACCCCCTCTCAGGTTCAGAGGATAGGGAAAGGAGCTAAAAGTTTCCAGCTTCTAATCATGGCTTGGTATTTCTCATGACCAGCCCCATCCTGAAGCTATCCAGGAGCTCACCAAGAATCACCTCCTTAGAACAAAAGATGCTCCCATCACCCAGAAAATTCCTACGCATTTAGGAGCTCTGGGCAAGAAACTGAATAAAAAACCAAATATGAAAACAAAATGCTCCTAGAACCTTTATTAATTAGGAAATTACAGAGGTTTTAGGAGCCAAGAATAAATACCACAATATTACAATATTATATTACAATATTATATTACAAATTTGTGCACTGGGCAGGTGGGGGGGAGGGTGGTGGGAGAATGAGGTGAGATCCCTCAGCCCAGCCTGCACCCTCTTGCAGTCCAGGACACCTTGGGGGATGTCCACCTGCCAGCTTAGGCCTGCTCCCTGGTGGAGTGGGCCTAAGTTGACATCCCTCTGGTAGCCTGGGAGCCCTCAGAGGATGTCCAACTGACAGCTTAGGCCCGCTTCCCAGGAGGAGCAGGCCTAAGCCACAGTTAGACATCCATCCACCACCTCTGCTGCGCTTGCAGGTGTCAGCCCAGTTCATGTCAGCCCTGTGGAAGCGTATTGCCACCAGGGGGCAGCTCCTGTGTTGAGCGTCTGTGCCTGGTGGTCAGTGTACATCATAGTGACTGGTTGTTCCTGGTCATTCTGCCATTAGGATCAATTTACATATTACCTTTTTATTATATAGCATTTTACATGCCCCAAGATTCTTTCTTTTTAAGTTTCTTAATCCAAGTGTAATTTCTATTATGTTCAAACAGCCCAGAGAATTTGGTCATCTGTACTATTTTTTTCTCTGACAAGTTATGTAATTGGAACTTCAGTATCATCACATGCACATGTCCTTGAATTTCAAAATCATGTGTAAATTTAAAAATTCTGGAATTTCTCCATAAATATCCAGGTGCATTTTTTTTTTTTTTTAAATCAAACATAGTTTGATTATGTCTTCACAGCATCCTGGGGCCAACCCCTTTTCCTCTCAGACTCCAGCACATAGGCTAGATGTTAGATGCCTTGCAAGAGAAAGATAATGCATATTTATTCTTTTGCCCGAAGGAATTTATAATCCTGGAGAGGTTTGACAGTTAGGAGGCAGTATAGTTCTGTGCTTAGGGCATAGCAGTTCAAGTTAGAAATCTCTAGATTCTACTGCTGACTCCACTGCTTCCTGAGACTTCTCAACTCTCTCAGAGTCATTTTCTCATCTGTAAAGTGGGGAAAATAGTAGCATGTTCCTTACAGAATGTGTGAGTATTAAATGAGATCAGGCATGTGAAGTGCTTGCTACATAAATGCTAACAACTTTTATTACGGGGAACACAGTAGAGACTCAATAATCTCTGCATTGATGGCTTTAATGTCCTTTATTTCATTTCTATCATTTTCACTTCTCAGTACATGTGAATGCCATTGAATTTCAAGGAGCAAATGTGAAAGGACCAAACCCTAATGAAATGATTTGCTTCTTTAGTGTGATATATGTTTATAAAAAAAGAAGGCAAATACCAACATTTGTATTTCCTTTTACTCTAATGACTAAAAACCAAAAAGTGGTTAGTCAAGTTATAAAATCAAGTATACTTACTTGATATTTTATGAGTTTCTATTAATTAGCTAATCTCTGTGGGCTTCAGCATCTGCCTCTGCAAAATAAAGGAGTTAGACCAGATAATTGCACCGTTTCTTTCCAGCTGAGTTTGATTCAACCAGGCATTTATATATACATAATACTAGCTAGATGTTATACAGTTATCTTTCCTGTGTTCAAAGATAGTTATTCATTTTCTGCTTAGCTTTTTGTTATCGATCAGAGGGAAATTCAGGAAGTCTTTGTTTCTCCTGTACATATTCTTAATCTCTATGATGAATTTCAGAGCCTCTTTGTCTAGATTTGGGTGGTCTGGTCGCTCCAGAATAGGGGTAACCTTTTAGAAGGTCAATAGGCCTCCTTTAAATTGTCCCAGAAAGATATCAGGCCCTGGGTAAGCAATAGGTCCCCCTAACAGGGTGGCGGGTCCGAGCCAGGAATACTGGGTCAAACTAGAAGTGATTCTTCTCCAGGACTGGGGGCATTAACATCATTATTTTCCTTTAGTTCAGAAGTGTAAATGAATCCTTTTCAAGGACAAGCTGCTCCAAAGGGCAGAAAAAAATGGGTCAGTATGGGCAGGTCACAAAGACTGTGTTGGTGAGAAAATTGAAATGTGGACAAAAGAGGTCTATCGGGAGAGAACATTTTTAAATCTATCATTCAGCAGATGCAGAGGGTGGGACTTATAGCTAGGTCATCAAGGATGTTCACTGTAGCATTTTTAAAATAGCAAAAAATTGGTACTAGGGGATGCTTAAACAAATTATGATATGATTATAAGATAGAGATATTGTTCATCGATTACAAATGGTATTGATAAAGAATACTTATATGTCATGGGAAAACGTTCCAGATATAACAGATAAGAGCATATATCTGTTGAAAACTATAAATAAAACATGGCATCAAACACATAAAAATCTTAGTAGAAAATCACATGGAAGACAATAGACCAGGAAGTTAAAAGTACATCAGGGTGGTAAGATTATGCGAGATTTTGGTTTTAATGATTATTTTTTACATTTAAAAAGGTTAAATGTATCTTTTTCTAAATTTTCTATATGAAATATGTCTGACTTTTATAGTCAGAATAGAAAGCAATACAAATTATCTTAAAACAAAACCAAACCAAACCTAGGGTAATCATATCAAACTTAGATGTTCAGGAAAACAGAAAAAATGACTGGGAAGATTTTGAGAAAGCCAGCAAATACAAGATCCTGAGTCAGGTGCCAGACGAGGGAAGCAGAGTCGGCCACACCAGTGGAAAGATTCAAATGCAGAAGGCATGGCCAGAAGGAGAGGGCTCGGGGCATGGGACTGGCCTTGGGGAGCCTACTCTGGAGCCTCTCTTCCTGCCTCTCACTTATATTGAGTGACTCCTTGAGGGACATACCAAAGGGCTTTTGGTCACCTTACTGTCCCCTTTGTTATCTGACTCTCCCTTTGCTTAGGGGACCTCCTCTTCTCAGTGGCTTGAGCTTGCAAGGAGGGTGTGGTTCTCAAAGTTCCTAGAAGTGAGCTTGGTATAAACAAAGATGCACGTGTTAAATAAAGGGCTACCTATGTCTAACACACAAGTTCAAGTCCTAATATTTATGACTCCTTTCAACACTGGTCTGAATTTTCCCAAATAAATCCTCTATAGAATTCTCATTGTTGTTATTTAACTCTAACAATATGTCTATCCCCATCTCGTGAAAATCTCTCCTCTGTGAGAGGGCTTTATCTGTCCTTTAGAATACCTTGTTTGTCTACCATTACATTCCTGCTGGATTCCACGCACCAGGTTTCCCCAGCCGTGACCCTGGACCATCAAGAATCATTCTCATGAGCCCATCATAGAGTGACTGACAATCTTTTTCAGTGACAAGAAAAGGATGCCTTTAAAAGAAAAGTCTACAGTCATCAAAACAATGCAATATCCTGTGTGAAGCGGTGCCTTGAGGTTTGAGGACATGTGGTTTGATCATGTGCCCCGAGAGAAGTGAAGTTGGAGGTGGCCTCGGATGACGGTGACGGGCAGGCCTTGGCGAGTGTGCCCTCAGCCCACCTCACACTTGGGGCTCCTCCGGAGGAGGGGCTGCCGCTCTGGCCTGTTCGCACAATGATCCTCAGGCTGCTCCTGGCTCTCAGCTTCTTCCCGTCAATTCTAGTAGCAGGTAAACGATTTTGATTTCTTTCCTTCTCTGCGTCTTAACCATGAAATTTGGGTATTTGAAGTACAGTTTTGCTATGAAATGGCAATCGGCTATTTAGAAACTCACTGATTCTCAGACTACATTATGATATTTTAATGAGCATTTTTTTTTGAATGAAATAAAATTTATTTAGCTATTAGTTGAAAATGTCATATATATATTTAGCTATTAGTTGAAAATGTCATATATATATATAAACACTATATATATATATATATATATATATATATATATATATATATATATAGTGGTTCTTTTTTCTTCAATTTAAGAAAACTACTAATAGCAGTTTGGTTCTGAATGCTCTGGAATTAGACTGCTTGCATTCATGTCACAAACCCATTTTTCACTAGCTAAGCTGAGGCTAGTGTTTAAACTCTCTAAGCCTCAATTTCCTTGTGTGTGGAATGGTGATGATAATAAATTCACCCCAAGGTCATTGTGAGGATAAAATGAAATAATCCATGTAAAATGCTCAGTGTAGTTAGTGTTTGGCTGGCAAGTTAAGTGTTACTTATATTACTGTGTCTAGCAGAATTACACGAGTGCCAAAATGAATCTGGAGTCATTACATAAACTGGCACAATACAGATGCTAATAAATTCGTGTGTTTTTTTTGTTTTGTTTGGTTTGGTTTTTACAATTGGCTGAAATCCATTTCCCTAGATTAAAAACCCTTAGGGTCTCAATGGTGATGATGAGGATGAGTACACCTAATACTATTACAAACCCCGTTTCAGATGAAGAGATGGAGGGGTAGGAATGCTAATTTGCCCAAGGGTATATAGGTACTAGTTGTAGGAACCAGGGTTTGATGCTAGACTATCTATGTTCTTGACCTTTGTGCTATCCCACTTAATATGATATGGTTTATAATTTCATAGCTGCAGACACATCCAAGGTTCAGTCATCTTTAGAAAAATCACAATTCCAAACAGAAGGAACTTGTTGCTTTGGTGGGCTAGGGTGAGAGGTGTTTGTTCAGCTTGGTCTTAGACTTGGAAAAGGGTTCTGCTTGGCTCAAAAATTGGACTGATAGGGGTTGATGGGATGTTTAAATATAGTTACTTCTTTCCCTTGAAGATACATTGAAAACCAGTACCTTCAATTTTCTATTGCATTTATTTTGATGTGAGAACCATTTGTTGTTCTTAAATATCATGTGCACGTGCTCCAAAGGGTATACTTTTCCCACCTGCATAAGTACAATAATTACATAATTGCCCATCTGTTTCATTGTCTGATGTGCCAGCGAGAACATTTACAAATTGTGTGTATTTATCAAAGGTGTTCATATAATGAAACACAGCTGGTGATGAGACAGGTTTTGCCCCAGTGGCTAGGACCAAGCAATTAGAGCCACTAAATTCATTTAAAAAGTATTTTTATATTTATTTTTAAAAAGGCCTTTAAACTCTATTTTTAAAATAACATTTAATTTTAAAATAACATTTATTTTAAAATTTATTTTAAAATAACATTTAAAACTCCTTAGCTTATTAGACTGCAAAGAATTGGCAGAAAAGAAGGAGAAACCTCACTCAGGCAGAAAAACTAAAATTTGTGATTGTACACAAAGTACTTTGCTGCTGTGCCTTGTGGACAGCCATCTGCCATCAGTTCATTCACTGTCCTTGGAAGGCATTTTTTGCATGACTCAAAGCTTTATATTTTTTCTTTAGAACATCTGTTAAAAGAGGGCAGCTAAAAAAGCAGTTAGAGAGCTCACACACGCACAACCTTTGTTTCTTCAGCTTTAAAATACATCTGCTTTTCAAATACCAAATCACCCTCCTAATAACTTTTCAGGTTTGATGCTGAGTGGTCAGCCAATGAAGTAGGAAAGGGTTTGGAGGAGAGAGATGGCACTTCTGAAATGCCTCTTCCAACGAAAAAACTGATGAGAAAACACAATGACAACAAGCACAAATGTATAACCCACTTTAATCAGTGTGCTTTCTGCTTCTCTGTACTTACCCTGTAAGAGGAAATAGCAATACAATTCTCTGGTCAAAGTGTAATTGTCTTCCTTAGGATTGTGAGAAACTACTGGTATGTCAGTGTTGAATGTGTGTATGTGTTTAAAAAAGAGAAGAATGGTTCTCTCCTCCCCCAGGCTCCTGCCCCCATGAATTTAATAATCCTAATGCATTGGCTCACAGCATAGTTTAAAACACTTATTCTAGGAAGGTTAAACCTACCCTGATTCTTTATGATTTCACTGATACTCTAGAAAGATCTTTATGGCTAAATGAAATAAATATGACCTAGAAAGTGTGAGGAAGCCTTCACTTAGACAACTCCTTTGCTCAAGTTGCATGTTTTCTATCAGATTTGGGTAATTGTGCCATTGAGATCCATAACAGAGAATTTCGCTGGGCCTTGGAATGTGAGTCCAGCTCAGAACAGCAGGCCCTGGAAAGGGGCCTCGCTTGGGATTGACGATGGAGAGTGTGCATATTGTTTGTAGGTGTGCAGGCGATATTGGCTATTTCTCAGCAAGCTAGTAATCCACGCTGAAGATAAAAACAGGACGACACCACTTTTTTTTTTTTTTTCTTCCATGAGAGCATTCAGTTTCATTTAATCTTAGCAAAATGAGCTAGTTTGAACAGGATTGACTTCTCCAGCGCTGCTGCATTTCCCTCAGCATGTCTTTTTCTGAGAGAGCCAGGAAGGCAGAAAGATGGTATCTAATCATTTCAATGATCAGCAAAGCAAGCTAATTAAAAACTTTAGTTTTAGTTCAGCAAATGGCCCCTCGGAGGTAGCTGTACGCAAAAGGGAGTAATCCACTCTCTTGAATAAAAAGCGCTGCTGCTCTGAGGCCGGACCTGGGAAAGTATGGTAAAAAGAGGAACATCAAAAAGGCAACGTACCCAGCAAATGGTTCTATCTACATGACATTCAACACACTGTAGCCAGGGCTCCTGACTGTTCAGAAAGTGACCGGGTGTTTTTGTCATTTCAAGTAAATGTGATGGACATTTCAAAAGTATAGACCTTGCTTAAGCGTTGTCTTTTGCTCTGCCACCATTCCCTACAACAAGGTTCTACTTTTTATGTTTTTCAAAGGCAGCTATCCAGAAAGGTCTTTTACGGCAAGGACTGTGAAATTAATATCAATATACCAATGTCAGGAAATAGAATGAGTCATTTTCACAGACAGACTAGAGATAGAAATGAATCTGTGATCCTAACTTTGAAGCTCTCACATTCAAACCTTTACTCTGGGTAGGAAGGAGAACTAGACTGTCCTTCTTGAGGTCTTGATCCTATGATCACGAGTGTATAAGTTCCATATGACTATTATTCAGCTTTTATCATGTGTGACTGTCCTTCCCTGCACACGAAGCTCCAATCACCTGGCCACTCCAAGAGGTAGGTAGCGTGGGGAGCACTCCAGCCCTCCTGACCGAGGTCAATGAGCTAAAATGTTCAAGCCCTAGCTACCCATTTTTTTTTTAAGAGGGAGAAAAAGAATGTGTACAAGCAGTGAATACTGTAGTACCTTTCAATGGGGGGCCATGGCCTTGGGCCCCTAACACGTTCCTGGCTGGTCCCAGGGACTATGGAATGCCCCCGCGCATGCCAGGCCTCAAAGCTCACACTGCCTTCAGAAAGACAGAAATACCCACCCTGATCCAACAGACCACCTGCAGAGAGAGCAGAGTCTGTGGGCCTGGGAGAGAGCTGTCTGTGCTCAGCCTGTGCTTCCCCCTCCGGGCACTAACGGGTGTGGACCTCACCAGGAAGAAAAATTAATGGAGTCTCCTTCCCCCATCGTTTTGAATTTTGGTGGATCTGTGTGTGGCAAAAGCCTCATGAAATTTCACCACTTGCACCATTCTTAACTCAGAGAAGTAGAAATAAGGTCGCTTATTCTGCCTGAAGGTTTGTCCCCCGCTGGCTACCCTCCCTGCCCATCACCATGGTTTGGTTCCTATTAAGAGCATTTGGATGCTCTTCTTTAAAGCAATGACAGGAGAGAGGGAGAGAGAGAGAGAGAGAGAGAGAGAGAGAGAGAGAGAGAGAGAGAGAGAGAGAGAGAGAGAGAGAGAATAAGACATTATTTACAGGGGCATAAGACAAAGCAAAGCACTGCAGGAGAGCACAGGCAGTAAATACAGAATGCCCACACCCGGACAGGGAAGACAGGTTACCTTGAGGATGAGCAGGGCACCCTGTCACCCAGGCTTCCCCTGGGTGTTGGCAGAGGACCTAACACAGGGGTGTCATGGCATGGAGAACAGGGGCCTGAGGAATGGGGAGAGCAGGAGATGGGACTGCTGCTTGGGGCTGTGAGAAGAAAGTCCTGAAAGAGACCCAAGGAAGCTAAGGGACCTAAGTCTTGCCATCCCCACCCCAGCTGGTGATGCTGGCATGGATGTCCCCGCATCTTCCAGGCTAGCCCGGGGGCAGTGGGGGGGCCTGGAGCAGGGGTTTACAAGCCCGAGGTGCTGTGAGGGTTACCCTGGGGGAAAGGGGGAGGTTTCAGGATGTTTCCCCACGTGGGCAGCATACAGGAGAACAGGGCCACTCCCCGAGAGCGGGGGTGCAAGCTAGCTGCAATGATGGGTATCGTGCAGCTTGGCATGGGCTGCCCAGGCATCATGGAATCTGGGCCTGGTGTGATGTGGCTGGGGCAGGTGGGGTAGCAGCATCCTCTGCTGTGTCAGAGGGTAGCAGGGGTGGGGGGCACTGCTGGTGAGGCATCATGCCCGGGTGCTGGGAAGGGGGGGCGGGCCAGCCCCCCTGGAGTGCTAGTGTCCCTGTGGAGGGTTCTGCCCACGCTGTTTTCAGCTGCTCCACGTGCAAGTCCTGGCGTTCAGCAAGCAGGTGCTGCCACTGTTCTAAGCCTCCTTCTGTTCACGGTCCTTTCTGGCGCCTCAGCATGCCCAGTGTGATCCCAGTTTCCTCACCCGTGTCTCAACTAGGAGAGGGGCCTTGGTTTTTCTCTT